AAGAAAACTGTGGGGAGTTGTGCAACTCAATGTGAATCATATCCGTTTACTGACACGTCAGTATATGTGTTATCGCTCTTTCACCGTCATGGAGGTCTAGTATCCAATGCAAGAAGTGGTGGACATGTTGGTTACCTGTGCAGATGATATACTTGCTATGACACTGTGATGGATTCTGCCGGTTGGTTGCGTTATGTGACACGTCAGAATATCACATTCAGAGATAAAATTACAGCAGGAGTGTCGGCTAGATACAATCACGACTGTGGATGACAAAAACCAAACGTTACCAGCACCATGTAAATTTTCATTCAGGGTCTCTTCATGGTGTTGTCCGGTCTAGCACATGGACGGCCCGCTCCTCATACTTGTTCATGAAATTGACAACATATGCTTTGTACATCTTGATACTTTGGTGCCATTCGTCGTGGCTACGAATGGTGATTTTGCCGCTTTCCAATGCAGAGATCCTTTTGAGATAATACTGCTCCACAGTCGGAGTCCACATGTATCCTTCAAATCCAGATGCATGTCACAAGACCGGATCGGGCCAAATTGCAAGCGTCTTGCACATATTTCGACCATTATCTGACACACGAAATCAATTATCGCCTGAGAAAAAAATGCGTGCCACGTACCGACAAAGTATACGCCGCAGAGGGTGTACAAGTCTTCCTGCATGAGGAAGTCATCATAAAACTTGCAGTTTTCATCGATGACTGGTGGGCCAGAACCAATGCTCGCTGAAGGGTTGGATAGAGACAACGGCCGGGAGTCGAAGAAATCAAAGGTTAATCTCCACAATATACCGCCAGCAGCAGCCGCTGCACGCATGCGAGGTTCATTCTCCAAAAGACGACGTCTGTGGGTCAGGTACTCCTGGTAATCGGTCTCTGTGGGCTTCCAGCCCACCTTCCTGTACCGTTGAATGGGTGGCAGGAGAGACCGCTGCACCGAGACCGGAACGACAGGCTCGTAAATGTAAGTGGAAAATGCGATCCCCCGAGAGAACACCTCTTGGATGATGTCTTCGGGATGGGGCCCCCACTGCTCACGGATGAGATGCAAGACATCCATAGCGCTGTGCAGCGCGAGTGACCATGGTCGAACTAACTGAGGCTTTTGGGGCTGGAGCATGTAACGATACCTCGTTGTGCGGTGAACGGATGGCTGCAGCGCATGTACGTTTGCGTGTAAAGGAGCGCTGGGCAGTTGAATAGATGGAAGCTTGAACTTATGTATGTGGTACGGGATGGCAACGTCCTTGACCCGTCGAGGACACTGATCACTCAAGTCGCATTGGGGACTGATGCAACCCTTTTCTACAAGACCGTCAACAAATTTGCAGAGGACTTGCTCGACGTCAGGATCAATGTCTTTGATCTCGGGCACTAACAAGGTCTTCAGGCAGTTAGGCCATTTTATCTTGTACGCGTAGTCGTATTTCATGGCTGATTCAACCCACTGGATCCCGTAGCGTTGTCGCACGATCTCCTTCACTGCAGGAAAAACGATTTGGAGGTCGACAGGCTCAGATAACGGACGCGGAGGTAACGTCTTCTCGACGAATGGGTTTCTCGCGCTCATATCAATGACCTCTTGAGGCTGGTCCAAACTTTCATCGACTTCCTCCATCGTTGCATCGGCAGGATGAGCTTCGTCCTCGTTATCATGGCCAGGGAACGACTCATCTGGCATCCACGCTGCGACATCATTATCGTGGCCAGGGAAAGGCTCATCTGGCATTTGCTGTGCGTCATCATTATCATGGCCAGGGAAAGGCTCATCTGGCATTTGCTGTGCGTCATCATTATCATGGCCAGGGAATGATTCATCTGGCATGCGCGCTGCGTCATCATTATCATGGCCAGGCAAAGGCTCATCTGGCATTTGCTGTGCAGTAAGATGTTTGTCAGGGATGAATATCCCTCGCACGAAATTGAACGGGAAGTACTGATCAAATTCCTCCACAGTGAGGCGGTACTGACTGGGATCGAAAACGGCCCGTGAGTATTCAATTTCGGAGCGATACTGCTGACTGTCAAAGTTGGTGCATATGTCCCACTCGTTGTCTATGGCGTTGTACACTCGATGAGTGAGGGGACGTTGGTAAAACATGTAAATGTGCATGTGGGGAACCTTGACGCGTATGCGTTCAGACCCTCGTCGTTCCCAATAAAACGTCTGCAGAAGATGGCAAGACAATACTCCTCCCGTGGCGGCATTTCTTCGATTGCGATCCCAGACGGTCACCATGTGACTGGTGGCACTGCGAACAGTACTTTGCTGCTCAAAAAATCGACGACGAATAAATTCCAACGCGGTCTCGCCGCGACGCTGCTTCGTGAACGGCTGCAGCATTTGCTGCCACGACACATCAGTCATAGGGGGAGGAGGAAGACCGACAGTGACCTGGATCTGCTCCCTGGTGGGATAGGACTCCTGCACCGCCGAGATTAAGTTACAATCACGGGGGAATGGAGACTCGGCAGGGCCCCAGCAAACCCATACATTATCGATGCCACTGTTCAACAGATTGGCTATGGCTCTGGACATGGACGTATTGGTAGTGGGTTTGATGACCACACCCACTCGCGGACTCAACCGACTTGGGGAAAGGAGCGACACGAACTCACAGGCCTCTCGCTGGGACATGCTGGAATTCTCTTTCAGCAGTAACTTGGCGGTAGGTTTTTCCAGGTGGGCCATATCGTCAAGATCGTCGTAATTGACGTTAGACTGCCTGCAGATATCCATGTCCAACAGCGATGCCAATCCGAGGAGGGCTTTGAACGCTTCTCGAGATTTCTGTGCACACCGATGGGCCATCTTCCTGGTTTTGTGAGTGCTGTAGTAGCCAAACGTCAACGGTTTGGGATAGATAACACTAGTGAAATTTATGGGCCAAGCGAAGTTGCATTTTTGAATCATCAGGTCCGTGTTGTATCGTAAAATCCACTCCAATCGGTGCCACTGAGCTTGGGCATCGGGATGAAGGCAGAAACACCCTTCATGCGGCTCGACCATGATCGTCGCAAGCGTGCTGAGCATCTCATGCTCATAGTCCAGTTCGCGGGGTGCAAAAGCCAGGTGAAAGTAGCGTTTGAGATCTTGCCGCAGATACGTTAATTCCATCGGGTCTACTACGTCGTCTAGCAGATCAGGATGTACTCTGACCGGTGCGTATTCACCCTTGATGGAGTAAACCATGCCGCCCTGTACGAGACACCGGTAAGGTTTCACTGCCTTCTTAGGAACCGGAACCTGATTGGGAACCTCAATATTTTCCATCTACAAAAACGTTGAGAGTGAAATGACGACATCACATAGTGTGTACACATACATCGAGCGAACTGTAAGTCGCAAGTCTATCGCAACGGAAGGAAGATAGAGATCGAGTTGGACACGAGCGTCACTCGACAGAGACTGGTCAAGATGCCTGGATGCGTCGAGAAGACAGGGCGGGGGCGGGAGGCGGCAGATCAAATGGTGATTAAAACAGGTAGGGAGGAGGAAGACCCAGTAATACCGATGTCCAACGGGAGGCTAATCCAAGCCACAACGACAGCAGATTCAACAACCTGTAGGACATGTAGGAAACCGAGTAAAACCGGTGTCCAACGGGTGCTCAAGGGAGGCAGAGAGGCTAAGGAGTGGGACACCAAGTATGACCGGTATCCACCAAGAACGGAAGCCGCCAATGAGAATACAGACGTTCAGCGCGAAGGAGACCGAGTAAAACCAGTTTCCAACGGTTGCTCGACGCAAGCAGAAAGACGGGGGACGGCTCAGAGAGTCAATATAGAGCAGTGCGGAATGGGAGGTAAGCAAAGGACAGAAGACAGGAAGAAGGATGCAGAAGTTGAGCGCAAAGGAGACCAAGTAAAACCGGTTTCCAAATAATGCTCAACAAGGACTTGAAGACAGCGACAAAGATGCGCAATCACCGACACGTAGGTCACGTGATCACATTGAACAACTCTGACAGCATGTTCTCGCTTCTGGGTTCGAGTTGGGTTCTGAAAGTCAAGTAAACTATTCTCAGTTGATACCTGCTCACGTTACAGCAGTAATGACGAGAATGCCCGTTGAAATATATTCTGACACATCAGTATCTATTGCAATTTCTACCTAGGTACACTCCAAAGTTATAATTTGTTGATGGAAACGCACATTAGCACTACGACTTGAAATGTGCCTGGCTTGTGACTCGCCAAGTTTGCAGAGGGCTGATCCAATATTTCTGACACGTCATAAAATGGTCACCCTTCATCTTTTCTACTATAGAATAATGCGTGAACCCGACAACTGGAATTGCTGACATGTGGGTGTGTCCCATCCACACCATTGATGACTGCTGCCATTCACCTACAGCCGCCGTATCCAACATTTACCTAAATTATCATGAAGCGGGTCGAACAATACTGACACGTCAATAATACCGTCGAGACGCAATCGCCGTCGCTGATCGTCAAATAAGCATGATTAACAGAAGTGCGTTAGGTTTCAGGTGAAATGGCTTCTAGCCACCGTCCCCTGCACTGATGACAGTGAGGACAGTCACATTTACTGATGTGTCAATAATGGCTGCAAAGGCCGCATGCACACCGTTCGTAAGAGTGGTTGGCAGTCAGAGAGGCAGCGTCGAGTAAAACTCACCTCCAAGAAGACATGATGTGCTGCAACGTCATCAGTAAATAGAAGTGGCAGGTCTGCATGACATCCACGTTGTGGCGCGGTCAAGATGCGGAGCGTTACATTTAATCTCCGGAGCACGCGGCTCTATGCTCAGTAGTCCCCGGATGGCTCGCAGCGCATCCTTGATGAGGCTAACCAGCGAGTTATGGAAGAAAGTGAGGAGAATCTTATTGGGCGTAAAGCGCACACCGCAGAAGGTCACCTTTGCCCACGCATCCACCTCCCGAATGCGGGTGGTGATACGCTGAACCTGGAGGGCGGCTCGTTGTTGGCGATTGAGCAGCATGTGATAGGTCTTGTCCATGGGAGCGCATGCGACGATTTGTGCGGCTGAGGGCTCAACGGGGGCAGCAGCCACTACAGCCGCCATCGCCGGTTTGACCTGCGCGGGCTGACACCGGTTTGAGCTGGTAGTGCCGGGTAGTTGTCTGGGGCCCGGGGTGTACGTCGGGCATGTGATGTGCGTGGAGCAGAGCTAATCCTGGAGCACAACATTACTTTAACAGGTGTCGAATTACTGATGTCTTCTGGCGGTGGCAGTTGATCGCCTTCTTTGATCGAGGGCAAAGGAGAACACTCCAAATCGAAGCCCGCACTGACTTGAAGAAACCCCAGCTCGAGGGAGCTCTTTCCCCATCCTCACACCACGACCAGACCAAAGCCCACCATGTTGACCTGCTGCTTTTGTGATGCCGAACTCGGTTCAGATGACGAGATCCCCCGACACATGCACTCTCACTGCAGCCCCGACTCCGGCCCATTGACCGTCACCGTTTTCCGTGAGCACCTCACAGTTGCAGACGTCGTATACACTGACACCACGAGCAGACGAGCGCCTCCATCTGCAAGATTTTGAAAACAAGGGCTGGGGATGTCCACAAACGTCCTGCAACTTTATGGGTTTTCCGCTGGAAATGTCGAAACACTTGGCGGAGCACTACGCCGGCCCAGTGAGCGCATATACTGACCTAACCAACACTGTACTCACTTGTCGCGTCTCAGGACTGTACCATGTTCCCCCAAAAACCGTCTCACAGCCAGTCCTCACAGATCAAGGACGTTTTCACAGAGAGAGGGAATACCGGTCCCTCGCTACTCACCAAAGGACAAAAGCGGGCCGCTTGCGATGAGGTTACTAACCCCGCACGCACCAAGAAAACACGCGGCGTCCAGGGACAGCAGCTTCCCATGACGCCTTCAAGCTCGGGAAGCGGTGACAGGCACGGCAAAGGAAAAGATTCTATCACGGCACGATTGCGACAGTCTAGTAACGATAGCCCCACTCCCCATTCCGGCTCCTCAACCATGCCCTTCGGTTTCGCAGGCCGTCAAAGGTTCACTAACACTCAATCAACGCGTGCCCCCCACCCTCCTGCTTCTCTGCCTTCCTTGCGCGAATGGGAGAAGGACGAAGTGGGAGAGCTGACCGGATACAACAGTGCCTCTTTGCAGTTGACTCTCAGTACGGAAGGCAGTGTACTCGCCTCCTCACCAGCGCGAGGACCCCGCGCTACAGGATGCTCAGCCACACAGGAAAAGGTGACGGAGACAGCGCAGGCGACACAGCATGACCTGGGCGTGGTGTGGACGACAAAGCCGGCAAACTGCGTGGAAGAGGTCGAGTTCATGGTCAAGGTGCACAAGGGCTCTTGCGTCTG